AACTGGACTAAAGACACCCTTCAAAAATCAGTTGAAATGGCTGGTGAGAGGAAGACTGATGTATTTGTTGGTGCTGATGTGTTCGGTCGAGGTTGTCCTGGAGGAGGTGGATTCTCCACTGATGTTGTAAGTGAAACAATAACTAGTATGAATTTTTTAGCCCACAACTTTAGTGTAGCTGTATTTTTGCTGATCTTAAAAACATGCACATTTTTTCTTGAACAATTAGGCTTAAATCACTGTTGTTCTGTAATTAATTTTTCAACTCATTGACTACTATGAATTTTAAACAAGTATATTTTTATATTGAATTATTTTTTAATTAAATTAGTAAATCTTAAAAGCTCTGAATACTTAATATCTTTAATTTTGCTCCTAATTTTAGGTTTTTGGAAAAAAAGCAACTTTCTGGAAATTACAGGAGTATCAAGTTTTTGACAAATGATGGTTTAAACCATCATATAAAAAACAGATTGCAGATTTGTGCAGATTTTTTTTACAAGTTATCACTGATATATAAGAATAAGATCCACCACTTACTGTTTTAAAATCTCAATAAATTTTTCAATATTATTGATTATTTTTTACTTGTGGTAAAGATTGAACTCATCTTCATTCTTCTTGCTAGTAAACCAAGATAGATAAATACTAGAAATATTAAAGTATAGTTTATTATAGTATAGCTATTATAGTAGAAATATTAAAGTATAGTTTTTTTTAGTTCTGCTCTAAATTAAGCTCTGAAATTATAATTTTCCTTTTTTTCTTAAAAACTATTTTTTGCAGTCAAATTTTCACTTTTTTTTCAATAAATGTAGAACAAAGGGAATAAGTTTGTGCCCATTTTTTGCAAAAATGAATAATCATCAATGAATAATGTGGAAAATCTGTTCTCCTAGAGTTATTACACAGTAAAGATGGGCAGTGCTGGCGAAAAATGATTCCTGTCCTCTTGTAGACAAGAAAAATAAGGAAAATTATAGTAATTAGGCAATGGGAATATTAGTGAGGAAGTATTGATTGGGGAGGAATTTTGAGACAAGATGAATAAAAAAAATTATAGTAAATCCTTACTAATATTCAATGGGAATATTAGTGAGGAAGTATTGATTGGGGAGGAATTATAGTGAATCCTCACTAATATTCATTGGAATATTAGTGAGGAAGTATTGATTGGGGAGGAATTACAGTGAATCCTCACTAATATTTAATGGGAATATTACTGAGTAAGTATTGATTGGGGAGGAATTTTGAGACAAGAAGAATAAAGAAAATTATAGTGAATCCTTACTAATATTCAATGGAAATATTAGTGAGAAAGTATTGAATGGGAAGGAACTTTAATGAAAAACTTGCTTTTGTCAAAACAGATTTTCAAATTAAAAATTTTAAATTTTGTTTTGAAGTTTTTGGGGGATGTAAAAATTACTTTTGACATTCGTATATATAAATTTTCTCTCTCCCTAATATCAATCAAATGCTTGCTCGTAAAAAATCTCAAACCTAGAAATTCGTTTCTTCTTCTTCAAAATCTGCATTTATAGACGCTAAATGTATTTCCGGCTGATCTTCAAATAAGATGCTTATTTGAAAGATATAAAGCTTTTTTTTAAAATTACATTTTGCAAATTATATTGTCTCTCTGCTTTAAACTATTAATTTTAATTAATATATTTTTTCATTCATGTGATTTTTCTGCTAATTAGAGAAATTATTAAAATTTAAATGGTCATATTTTCTGAAATTCACCATCACTTCGATTCTCCACTTTTATTTCTTTATTTTTCATCTCCCATTATAAATTGCTTATCCCAATTTGTCACATTTTATGTTCTGTTTAGATGAAATTTATAGTACAGGTCTCATGGTTTCTATTGATTCAATCTGGTGAAATCTGTATTGCGTGTTAACATGATTTACAAAACATGCATTGCATTTTAATTAGAAATCCTACACCCAGATTAGTATTGCACCAATATACAATCACCTTCATACCATCAATTGATTATTGGGATGGAATATTTGTATCTCTCATCACAGTTCATAATAAGCTGATTATAAATTGAAACTTGCATTTAAATTCCTATTTCTGAATCATATTTTGCATATCATATTTTTGTAATTTTATATTTATGTAACTCAGCTTATATTTATTATAAGAAATTTCAAAATTAGATATATGACTGACTATTTTCTCATTGAAACAAAAGTATTTATCATTGAAATGCCATAAAAACTTTCAGCTTTTTTCAAGATTAACCAATCACATGTATTATTTTTGTTTGATAAAGTCGCTATATTTTAGTGAACTTCATTACAAAGTTTTTTCTCTCCCTTTGAACTAGGCTGCTTCTGCAGCAAGAAAATTTGGTTTATCTATGGCTATCTTTGCACCTGGCTGGATTTACGAGTGTTTGGAAGTCAAAGATTTCAAGGAAAATCAATTCAGGTTAATAACGCTTTTTATTATGTTGTTAATGCAATAAATAGGAATTTAAATGTATTAAGAAATTAAAATTATACTGTGTAAATATTTGTAATCATATTAAAATTAAAAACTCATACAAATCTCTGTGGAAATTGTAAATATGAACTGTTATCTTATAGTATAAGATATATAATATCTATTTTTTTTTTTTTTACATTAAGGGAAAATTTATTAGTCTTGTTATTATTTTCAATGTAAACTCTTTGAAAAGAAATTGCATTGGAATTGAATTGGTTACAAGAATTTATTAAGAAAAATGAATGATAGGGATAGTATTAAAGAAGACTAACTAGAAGGGATAGTATTAAAATTAAAAGTTAATACATATGTAAATTTCTCAAGAAATTGTAAATATGAACAGCATTTATTTATGTTGTTTTTCTCTAGTCTTCATTAATAAGGAACTCTAATAATCTTATTGTATTTATTGAGTTTAATTTAAACTCTATGAAAGGAAATTGCATAAGAATTGATTGAGTAATAAGAATTATTGAGAAAGTAATTGTATAGTAGAAGGGATAATATTAAAATTACGAATTAGTAGATTTATTTTACTCATTATGTTTAATCATTGTTTTGTTAATATTGTTTTTCACCATTTTTAATGTGTTTATAAAAATATAACATGTCCAAAATATGTATATTAAAAAGTTAATATGTTTTCAGGTTTTGGAATTTACTGCAAAAATTTTGCCCTGTAAGAAAAGTCAAAAGTTTGCCTTATTATTCATCATTTTGCCCAGGATTTGGGAAAAAATTATTTAAAAATGGAAAAGTAAGAATGCTGACATTTTTACTGTTATATTGCTTATTAACATATGTCTGTTACATTTAGAAATTTTGGCAAGTGATGATTTTAAAATGTAGCTACTGTTGTCGTTCAGTCAAAAGTGTATGAATCAAAGTATTCTGTCAAACTTTTTGTCAAAAGTTTTACAAAAAATTTTTTTTTTTCCGCTTAGTTTTCTCATTTAGTCAATGATTTAAAAAATATTGTTTAATAAAACATTTTAAACCCTGTTAAAATTTTTTTATTTTCATCATCATCATCATAGTTGTCCAGACAGCCCAATGTGAGCCAATGCCTTCCTCTGAAGCTTTCTCCATGATGACTTCCGATTTATCTTTGATCTCTGATTTCTGATTTGTTATTTTCACTAACCCATTATTACTATGTTTTCTGACACATCATAACTTTTTCATTCCAACTTTCTCTTTTACTTCTATTTATTTATTTATTTTTCATCCTTGAGAGGAAAATTGAAATTTAATTTAAAGTTGTGGTTTGTGAGGACATTATACTCTTTTTGAAGGTAAAGATAAAGATTATGCGATGAATAAGAAAATTTAATCAAGGATTTACACATTGCACCCTTTAAAAAAAATTTTTGCTCAATTCTTTTTAAAGGATATTTTACGTATATACAATGTTTTATGGAATTTTTTTTCGTTAATTAAGAAATAAAGTTATTTTAAGTTTTATTAATGATCATAAATAATTGTTCAATAACTCAAGATTTCTTCTTGTTTGATAAGTTAAAATTTAATTAGATCATATTGCAGCGCATTATCATTTTAAATATTTAAAAAAAAAATTTTTTTTTACAAATTGAATTTTATCAACATTAATCTTAAATGTGCAATTTAATAGTAATAATTCCTTGTAATATAATTGTCTTTTAAAAGGAAACTACTTATTTAGGTTTTAAGTGGTACTCCATGGTTTAATGTGAGTCTTCAACAGCCGCAGCCCATTTACTTCTCAGATTATTGCCCTAAGGACACCAGCATATCATTATATGAAGAAGATTCTTTCCATGGTGGTGGATGTATTTGTTTGATAATGAATGCTGAGAGAAAAGAAATAGTTTCAATCTTCAAGTTAGTATCGTTATGTGTGAAATATAAGAAAAAAATTTTGTTATTGGATGTTGTTTCAGTAACAAACTTTCAGTGTGTTTGATGTTAATACTAATATTTTTGAACTAGCATAAGTAAGAATACACATCATTGTCCCATTTTATAGATTGTCATATATTTGGTGAAATATATATAACGTCGTTGTCAAGTAGAAGGATTAAAACAGGTCTTAGGCAGGGGAGGAAGGTACAAAATTTATTTACTGATTATTAGACAGAGAGCAGCTATAAAAGAGGTCACGAAAAGTTGTGCTCCTCGATATAAGTTAGGGAAAATCTTGCAAAGTAAATCCGTAAAATGCTTCGATTTTGGGAATAAGGAAAATCTTAATAATTGTAATTGGTTTATTAAATAGGTTGTGCGATTCCCACAAGGAGCAAAGGGGAAAATGTCTTACTTTTAATTAGTGCATGCTTGAGCCAAAAATAGATTTAAGGACAGGATGTGAATTTAAAAGTGTGAGAAAGTGTTTCGATTAGAATAATAAATTAAGGAAAGGATTTACAGAAAAAGAACAACATAAAAAGATTAATTGAAGCTTCTTATGTTACATATGTATATGAGTCACATTTTTAATGGTAGAAGCGTACAATTTGATATACATATACCACTCATTAATTTTGCTTTAATTTTATATGGGAGGCTATATCAGATTTAGCCTGTAACAATAATGGCAGACACTCAAAAAGGTGGCTTCTGAAAATTTTTGCTGTGCTTTTTAAATTTTTTTTTATTATTTTGAATGATCTCTTTAAGAAATGACAAGCATTTGATATTTTGTGCATATAGTTTTCTATTATCAATATATGTCACTTGGAACAATATATGTCACCCGTTCTCTTCACTCACCGAACTATCACTATAACTATATATATTTATATATAACTATCACTATAACTAGCACATAACATATCACTATAACTTCTCAATCATTTTGGATTTTTGAGGATAAATCGATTGTTATGTTAAAATTATTATGTATAATTCTATTTTCAATATAATGTATGCTATTTTTTATTAGTGATACATTTGTTTAAATCGAATTTTATGGATTAATAAATTTTTGATGCAGTTTTTTTAAACATTAATTCACAACTTTGAAGTATATCAATTAAAAAAACACAAACATTACAAAAAAGAAATACAAAAAAACTATTCAAAAATTTGTATTTTGTGAACACAGTTTTTAATTTTAATCAATCTATGACATTCGGGGGTTCTACTACCTACTCGCTTTGTCCACCAACCCCTACAATTCTTGATGATAAACAGATTTCCTTTGAAATTAAAAATTATTCAATTGAAAGATCCCAATATTTCATATTTTCTTAACTTAGTACTGTTATTGTATTAACTTAGTATCAAATGTTACTGGGTTGTGCAAGGAACATTAAATTATTTGTATTTTATTTACTATTGTGTATCTCTCTTGGGTTTGTACAACATTCCATGGACGAAAGATTAACCTGGAGCTGAGAGACACCATTTAAAGCTACACCAATACCGTGCACGTAATTTGTATTTTATTTTAAAAACATGCTTAAATACAATTTAATTAAAATTATTAAATAAAAGTAATTAACATAACGGTGCATTGTAAAATTATCAAACAGTGACCCGTCCGCGATGATAAAAAGGATAGGGAACACTGCTTTAAATGGTGTATGAGACTTAGGAATAACTATATTAAGACCTCTTATCTCCCAACGTTTTTGTGTGATATCTTTCTTACATTATCATAGTTTGTTTATTATTTTTTCCCACTGATGAACTTAATAACAGAGTCCCATAGTCTATTTCAGTCTTTCTCTTTGCTGTTTTATGAATACTGATTTTGATTTAATATTTCATGCAGGAGACCGCAAGTGTTGGTCAAGTGCTGTTTAAAATTTTAATTAATTGAACTGTGAAGCTGTAAAGTTTTCCTTTGTTGTAATTTATTCTTTTTTGTTGTTAGGATTTTAGAGTGTTCTTTTATCATAGATGACAGCATTGTTGTTAGCTATACTTTCAAGACGCAATCCCCTAATGTTGAAGTTAGTTTTATCTTCAGCATCAGTAATCGTGAAGGGAAGTATAAGCTATACTTGGGCAACGAAAAAGGTGACCANCATCTCTTTCTTTTTCTTTATTGCTACTTTTTTCTGAAATTTCTGCTGCTTTTTAGCGCATTTTTTTCAAAGAAGTTTTTTCTACTTAGAATTAAAACCTCTTATCTCCCAACCTTTTTTGTGATATCTTTCTTACATTATATATATCATAGTTATTTATTATTTTTTCCCATTGATGAACTGGACAACAGAGTCATATAATCTATTTTAATCTTCCTCTTTCTAGTTTTATAAATACTAATTTTGATTTGATATTTCATGCGGGAGACAATAAGTGTTGGTCAAATGCTGCTTAAAATTTGAATTAATTAAAATGTGAAGCTATAAAGTGACTAATGTTTTACTTTGTTGTAATTTATAATTTTTTTTGTTAGGATTTTAGAGTGTTCTTTCATCATAGATGACAGCATTGTTGTTAGCTATACTTTCAAGACACAATCCCCTAATGTAGAAGTGAGTTTTATCTTCAGCATCAGTAATCTTGAAGGGAAGTATAAACTATACTTGGGCAACGAAAAAGGTGACCACAGCAATTCAAGTTCTTGTCTCTTGCCTGCATCTTGTGATGAAATATCTGAAAGTCAATATAAAATCGCTGCTAATCCAGAAAATATAGAAGGTTGGGTTAAAAGGTGATTCAATATTAATATTTAATCAGAAACTAATATGTGTTTTTATAATGCTTAAGCACATAATATTATTATTATACTTTGATCAAAATAAATTTATTTGGTGAATTCTACATTTTTTTAGGGTATTTGTTTTGAAGTTGTGTAGATTCAACAATCACACAGTTGAAGACATTAGTGTCCAAATTTCAGCACCCATGAATGAAAAACACTTAGTCCTGTTGGGCGAGCTAGAGGTTAGTCAATAGCTTTTATTTTTCTACATTTAAGAAGTCTTCAAATATATGTTTTAAATTATCTTTATTGTCTGTTCCAGAGCAATATATGAGCTATACATTTGTAATTCATTCCTACTTTCAACAGAGCTATTTAAAAAAAAATAATTACACTTTAAGTCAAATAATAAATTATTTGTCTTGGCTTTACTTATTGGAAAACTTCTGGTCTAAATATAATAGCATGTAAACTTACTTGAATATCTATTCTTGTTAATTTATTATTAAATTATATTAAATGAATTTAAACAGTGCTAAAGAAATTTAAACAAAATTTTTGTATATGTACTATGTTATAAAACACCTAACATTAGAATTTGGTAAATAAATGTATAATTTTTGCATGAAGAAAAACCAGTTTTTTTGGGAATTTTTGAAAAAAAATTGAGAACATTGAAATTGGTTTTTAAAGAACGAAAAAAAAAGCAAACAGTTTTTTTTTTTGTAAAAAAAAAAGGATTTTTGCTTACTCTACTCTTTTATAATCTTTTTTTATGCCTGTGTTTTACTGAGTTAAGAAGTTTTTTTAAAAAAAATCTATATTAATTTGAATTAAACAATAATTCCTCTTTTCAGATTTTACCATTTAATCCAAAAATTGATTTCCACTATAGAGATTTAGTGTACAAATGCAATGAAGATAACACAATCACTGCTCAATGTACACTGTACTGGAGTTATCATCCTTCAATTTATTGTTCTGATTTGTTCCTATTATCTGTGGAAAAGAGAGTACACATCGGTAGAACATCTCAGTTCCATTACAATTTAGAGTTTTCTCTTACTGGAGCAACTGATTTAGAGGTATTATTATCCCTACAAAATAAAGGTAATGACTCCATTCCAGATGTATCAGTTAAAATTCCATTACGACCATCTTTTATGTCTTAAAAATCATATTGTTTACTTATCATGTGTATATAATATTAATGAAAAAAAAATTTTTAATTTGAAATACACGATGATTTAGTGATAATTCTACTTTCCTGAAATTTTTATTTTTGTTAAATTCAATTGTACATATATTCTAGTCACAGTTATATTTTACATTTTAAATAAATTTATTCTTTGAAATAGCTTGTCCTTTAATTTTTAAAATATTCACTCTGCATATTATATCACCGTCTAATCAGAATTGTTAAATTTTAAGGAACAAGAAAATGAAGATCCACAAAATAATTCATTTGACTCCATTTTCAGAGCATTTTTATCAAGGAATTAAAAGTACATTCAGTTGTTTAATTAAATAATAATTAAAACTTTATACAGTGAAACCTCCTGGTAAGACCACCTCTATATAGCGACCTCTTCGCACTTAATTTTTTCCATAAACTTTGTGTTGAAGATAACCTTTGGGTGAGACCATCAAAACCTCTCTCTGCAACCGGGCAAACCACTGCACTAAAGGTCTTGTAAGAAAACACAAAGAAATATGAAAACCAAAAATATTAACAAAATAAATAAGAAGGTTAAAATATATTCAAAATATTTGTGTGATATTCTTATTTAGAGTGCTCTTTTTGATGAACTCTGAAAGAGATCTACAACCTCTTGATACAGTCAGAGTGCACTAAAGACGATGCTATTAATGATTTATTTTTAGAGTTGAAAGTTAAACAAGCAATAAAAAATTGAAGTCAATTCCTACTTAGGTCAACAAAGAACAATTTTATTTTAGTTAATTTTTATTAAATAA